TCAGGACAGGTGCTCAAAATCAAGCAGAGAAGCACAGAGGTTGGAAAGGACCCCTGGGAATCTCAAATCCAGCCTCCAGCCTAAAGCATGTCCAACTAGAGCACGTTGCTCCAGACCTTTGCCAGTGGGGCTTGGATTCCTACATGAACAGAGGTTCCTTACTGCAATTTGGCAGGGATAAAACCTGACTAGAGCTGCTGTTTATGTGATAAATAATGACCAAGGTGTTTCAGCCACTAGCAAAGAAAYGAAAAGGGGGCCCACAGATAAAGTAATCATATTAACTCTGGGCATGGTGACCTGGCATTTAATTTGAAATTCAGTAGTTCTGTTCCTAACTGCTCTGCCTGTATTTTATTATTGGGAAAACACTTAAAAAACATAACAAAGCAAAACCCATAGCAGCTGAAAGAAAAAAAAAAAAAAAAGGTGATATAGCTTGAAGCATATTGACTGAGAATGTCAATGCAACATGTTGTTTTTACTTTTCAAGAAAGTTATCCTCATTCCTGACCTATCTTTGAAACCTTCACGCTTCTCCAGGCAGAACTTTAAGTCTCCACAKTTCACAAGGGATTATGGACTGCATCAGTAATGCCCTAAACATGAACTTTTAAATATTGGCTTTTCAAATAACAACCAAAGGATCAGATGAGGCCAAGTATAAATATTGACCTATGAACAATGACTCAGACTGTCTGCATGACACTTTGGTGTTTAACGGGAACTAGTATCCAGCTGTCATATTTGATTATTTTAGTTAAAATCCCTCATACCAAGATTAGACGTTGTGTATCCAGCCTGACTTAGAAGTCAATTTCCTTTGTTTTTAACTCTGTAGTAGAAGAAGGTTAAAGCAGGCCCTTATTCTGATTCAGTAACAAAAGCCCTTGAAACAGTGGGAGCCTCAGATACCTGAAAGGTTTATAATTAGACAATCTCTGAAAACTCCTGAAAAAGATACCAGAAATACAGTACCCTTCAAGGTTACCACATACCTTTCCCCTCTTAATTAAAGAAAGTATAAAAGCAGAACTGAGATCTAAAACACATATCAGGTATTTTTTATCTGCTGTGCAATCTCAGGAATTACATATCAATTTCCACTTGGAAACTAGAGCCTTCCCAGGTGAAATAAAAGCAGGCTTTCTCCTTGGCTTGCAGATGATGCAGGAGCATCCCGGGATCCCATGATTTCTATGACCTGTCATCCTGACTTTCAGTGACAGCTGCACTTCAAAGCCTCTGGTTTGAAAAATCAGAAACAGAGGTCAGAATGATAATGTTTCCCTGTTCTTTTGTATCTCTATATTAAAAGATTAATTGAGCATTCACTACACCAACACCCAATTCAGAAATAATGGATGGTCTCATATGGCAAGAGCCAGGTGAATGCAGGCAGCCTCTGCATTTASCAGTCCAGAACCAGAACCCCCCAGCAGCATTCAGAGTGCACACTCAGAAGAGGTGCAAACACATGAAACATTATTCTGCACAAAAGGTCAGACATTCACATCATGTGACATGTTGCATTGACATCATGCTTCTGAATACACATCCATAAACAATTGAAAGAAATGGAGGACTTTTTTTACCATTTCCCTTTTTTATCTCTTGCCTTTCCCAAGGTTTTAATTTTACATATATATCTATACATCAATACATATTTAATACTTGTTAGAATACTATGGGATAAAGCCCTGGAAGGAAGAGTGACACAAGAGAGTTTGTTAAGATTCAAGGGTCAGTTTTTCCAAGCCTAGGAATGATGMATCTCAACAAAGWGGAAGTCAGGCAAAAATGCCAGGAGGCCTCATRGATAACAAGGAGCCTCTGGACAAATTGAAACACAGAAAGGAAGCCCACAGGAGGTGGAAGGAAGAATAAGTAGCTGGGAGGAATACAGAGAGATAGTCTGAGCTGCTAGGCATCAGGCTATGAAAGGTAAAGCCCTGAGAGAATTAGATCTGGACAGGGACATCAAAGGCAACACAAAAAACTGTACATCGATAGCAAAAGGAAGACAAGAGGAAATGTGAGCCCTCTCCMRAAGGGAACAGGACACCTGGTTGCCCAGGATATGGAGAAGGCTGAGGTACTCAACCACTTTTTCACCTTTGTCTTGATCGGCAAGTGCTYCAGCCACACTGTCACAGAAGGGAAAGGCAGAACTGGAAATGAACTGACCACTGYTGGAAAAGAACAAGTTTGAGACCATCCAAGGAACCTGAAGGTGACCAAGTCCATGGGACCTGATGAGATRTGTCTGTGGGTCCTGAGGGAACTGGTGGATGAAGMCACTTTCCATTGTATTTGAGAATTCATGGCAGTCAGGTAAAGTTTCCACTGAYTGGAATCCCACTTTTAAAAAGGGAGAAAAAGAAGACCTGAGAAACTACACGTTGGTCAGTCCTACCCTGGTGCCCAGCCAGATCATGGACAATCATCCTGGAAGTTATGCTAAGACATATGTTACACAAGAAGGTGATTCCTGCCAGCCAACATGGTTGCAGTWATGACAAACCATGTGAAATACATTTGGGRGCCTATTACRATGGCGCTACAGCATTGGTGGATAAGGGATGAGCAAGTGACAACATCTACCCAGACTTGTGGAAAGCACTCGACACTGTCTTTCACAACATCTTTGTTCCCAAACAGAACAGATGGACCACTCAGTGGATGGTTGGATTGGCTGGATGATGACATCCAAAGAGTTACCATCAATGGCTCCATGCCCAAGTGGAGACCATTGACAGGAGGTGTTCCTCGGGGGTTGATATTCTGACTGGGGCTGTTAAACATCATTGTCAGTGACCTGGGCAGTGGTAACGAGTGGTCCCTCAGAGAGTTTGTTGATGACACCAGGCTGTGAGGTGTGATTGACACGCTGGAGGGGAAGGGATGCCATCCTGAGGGACCTTGACAGGCTTGAGAGGTGAACCTGTGTGAACATCATAAAACTCAACATCACCAAGTAAAAGGTCCTGCACACAGGTCAGGACAATCCCAAACTCAACTACAGGCTGGGTGGAGAATGAACAGACATTAGCCATGGGRAGAAGGGATTGGATGYGTTGGTTGATGAGARGCTCAACATGACCAGCAATGAGTGTGCTSGCAGCCCARAAAGCCRGCCATATCCTGGGATTCATCCAAAACTGCTGGCCAGCAGGTCAAAGGARGTGATTCTGCGCCTCTGCTCTGCTCTCGTGAGACCTCACCCTGAGTGCTGCAYCCAGCWCTGGGGCATCCAGCATAGGAAGGAAATGGATCTGTTTGAGGTAGTCCAGAAGAGGGTCTGAAAATGCTCAGAGGGCTGGAGTACCTCTCTTACCAAGACAGGTCAAGAGTTGGGGTTGTTCAGCATGGAAAAGAGAAGGTTCAGGAGACACCTTACAGCAGCCTTCCTGTACCTGAAGAAGGTACAGGAATCTGGAGAGAGATTTTCTACAAGGGCATGTATTGAGAGGACAAGGGGAAATTTAAAACTGAAGGGGTCTCGTTTAGATTAGCTATAAGGAAGAATTTTTTTTACTATGAGAGTGGTAAGGCACCAGAACAGGTTGCCCAGAGAAGTTCTCGATGCCCCATACCTGCAAGCGTTCAAGGTGAGGCTGGCTGGGCCTCTGAGTAACCTGGTGTTGTGGAAGGTGTCAGGGCCCACAGCYAGAGGCYTGGACCYAGATGATCTTTAAGTTCCCTTCCAACTCAAACTGTTCCATGATTCAGTGATTAAATGCTTATCTTTAGCATTTCCTTTGTGCACATGTGAGAAGAAAGACCCTCTACTGCATTTATGTAAGTTGCTGCTGACCTGAAGAAGAGAGGGAGAGAGACCCAGCACCACTAAGAGCTGCACTTCAGTGTATTCAGGGACTGGTGGAGCTTATCGTATTGCTCTGCGCTCCTCATGTATGTATGTTTGACCTCCTTTAGGTRTCCTCTATTTTCTGTAGGACAGCTTCAGAACTTCTTCAGAACCTCAATCAGGGAATAAGAGCATCACAAACATTTGTTGTAGGTAAAGTATCTTAATGAACTCGTTATTCTGATAAAGCTTCTCTTGAAGGTAAAGAATTGCACCCTTCTAGTGAAATGCACAGACCTTACTTAGCAATTTCACTGAGGCTTGTTACATGATGTGATCAACCTTGGCCTGGATGCTTTGGGTGCAGAGTRTCAAAAACAAATCAAGCTTCCACTGAGGCACCTTAAATACAAATTAAAAAATGCATTGATTGACCTTTATGTTACTGTCTGAACTCTTACATTTTTACCAGTTTTGAGAAACTAATCAGGAGAGACAGACARATATTTCAGATGACATTCTTTAGATAGGGAAAAAAAAATAAGACAAACCAAGTTAGATGTGAAATACCTATCCATCTGSATAAAAAGCACAGGCCTCACATCCCAATGCATACACCAAGCCTGAAACATTTGTCTGATGCAAACAGTATTAACAAAAATCATGTTTTGCTAAACGAAGTCTTACCTTTCTGCTACYGATTTCCTTGGGAAATAAAAATCCTCTCCTGCGAGGTAGGCAGCTGCAGTTCCACCTCCAAAATAGGTTTTCCTCAAGAGCGGAGCAATCCGATTGTTTACCAATAATGCCCCTAAACCAGTTGGGAATCCAAAGATTTTGTAGAATGAGATGGGGACAAAGTCAGCTTGGTGAACTCCCARGTCTAATGGAGAACTGCTCACGTACGAAGCTGCATCTAGTAGAACAAACCACTTCCCTGGTATTCTGATGGGGCAGAGTTTTCCAGATTTTACATCCTGTATCCATGAAAGGGGATATTTGGTACCAGAAAAATTGCTCTGAGCTGGATAAGAGAAAAGATGAGGTGTTGTGCAGTTTTGTTCTTCAGCTAGTAACCTGCTTTTTGCTAGCAAGATTTCCTTTGGTTTTACTGGAACRGACAAGACATTCATTGAGGCAGTTATGCCCCTCATTCCCACCACAGATGTGTGGCTGTCAGTTAGGTAACAAAATCGACTGCTRGGTTGCCTTGTGCCTTCAGGTATCCAAGGGAATGATTCTGCAATCAGTTTAAGTGCAGCTGTGCATCCAGATGTGAAAATGACCGTGTAATCCTCAGCAGTAGTGTGAAAGTGCTGCAATATTCTGAAAAATGAAAAAAAAAGGAAAAATATCTATTTATTTTCTAATTTTTCTCTTTATTGTTGTGTGGTATATTTCAGTTTCCCTCACCATAAGTTCTTATCTGACACCAGATATGAATACAARTAGACAAGTTTTGCCAAATAGTGCAATAAACTTCAACAAGGGAACCTGAATCATTTTTCCCACAAGAGACTCTTTCCAGTGTTGCAGTGAACGTGGCTGTGTTCTTAAGGATAGAAGGCAGTTCTGCCTGGCTCCAAATWGAGTGGTGAGTCTGGTCCCTCAGTGGGATCAGAATCAAGCCTGCATTTAATTAAAACCACACTGTCCTTGAGAAAGATCGCTTTTATTCACAAACTATTAGGGTTTCCAGTTTACAAAATATTTAGTGCAGACAGAATATGTTTCAGTCAAGATAATCGACTTAATTAGTGGACATCCAAATTAAGTGTCACAGTATTCAACAGGGAAACCTCAGCAAACAGCTTTGCTCCTTGCTTATGTTACTAACAATAGAAACAGAAGGCAGCAAGAAGAAACACACACTTTCCATGAGCATTAACACATAAGGCTGTAATCTCTGTACTCCACAAAGGTGGCCCAAACCAGAAGCAATCCATTGTTTTCCAAAGAGYCAGACTGTGAAAAGCAAACTGGTCTCTTGAGGCATTTCTATACTACGCATTCTTCRATGTTTTGACAGCACCTTGTTGGCTGTAAACTACCTTTTGTGAACAACATCTAACACAGCTTGTGGTACCCAGTCTAGGTTGTTGCATCTATTACAGTTCCGCAGTGTGCAAGATGAGTCTTTACAGAGGCTCAGAGACAGCTCCAGTTCAGTCACCTTTCTTACCTTTTTCATCCGATGGACTTTCTCTGAATTAACTATAAAACTTCTACTAATATAAAACAAAAATATAACAAATATCTGAGAGACATCAGCTTTGGTGAATGGAGCAGAGCAAAGAAAATGGAACCAGAGCATACATGCTGCTGCTCAGAAACACTCTCCAAGCAGCTGCCATTCTGATCTGTGGAATTCCAAGATATAGACCAGCATTTAGAGAGTCTATGAACCCTAGTTTTCACTGTGTATCATTAAAAGTTTCCATGTTTTATATAACAGGATATTCCCTTGCTAGAAGAGGCAGAAACTGAAGACATGGGTGCATTTAAATATAAGTTGCACAAAAGATGATGTGACAAATTCAAGTTAAAAATCCTGAAACATAGGATGGCAATGAAATTCCTTAAAACTTTGTCCACATAAATGCTRCAGGCAAAGGGGGTTAGAGCAGGGTGGTGGGTGCAGCTGTCAAATATTAAGCACTGGAAAAGAAACAATCAAAGCAATGGCTTTGATTATTTGTGCTAAAAATATACCCTACAAAGGCCCACTGAAATTATTTTATGAATACTTTTCTCATTTGAAGAAAACTCTTACTGTACTGGGAAGTACTGGATGCMGCAGATGGATTCATAAACCCAAATGAGACTTGACTTTCTTCAGAACTTAAATTTTTGAAAACTTATGCAAATGGTAGGTATTTTAGGTCTTCTGCAAATGAAGAAAGAATTGCAGCTTTATGAAGAAACAGGCCATAGGTTTAGGCTTTAAACATTTCAAGAAACCATTTGAAACAGACTTGCCTGGGGATAGCTGCTGCAAGCATTCACAGCCCTGGACATAATTTTTGAAGACCACGTTCATAGAAGCCAAACTTTTCCACGTGAGTTTGGAAACTCTGTTAGGGCTGAAGACAGGAATGATCACAGAAGTTTTTTTATCGGGTATTGAGCTGACAGCCTGCCTCATTCACCGCTGGGACCTGCTCTCTCAGTCACTAAATCACTCCCCTTTCCCCTGCAGAGAGCTGTGCAGCCTCTCACTCCACCACCCGCTTTTCAGCTTGGAGCACGTGTATGTGTTGTATACGACACCTGAAGGAACCTGAAACCCTCAACCCAGCTGGCTGCAGGGTTACCACTCAGAACCATGCCCTGAATTTCAGTCCTGATATCATCCTGTTGCCTTTATTCTTCTTTCTTTGCATTTGCCTGGATACAGGGAAGGTGGAAAGYAGAGAAAGCAAGGGTCCTAATTTTTCTTCAAGAACAGAGAAGGAAAGCACTATACTTTTGTATCTAGGGGAAACAAATGGTGAAAAGTGAATTAGAAAGGAGGCTGAGCCTTTGTAGTTATGGGCATAATTTTTAATGTATTATCTGATGTTATTTTTGTATGCTTTACAGTCATATTGACTGGTTTTGGAACAATCACACTGTTATAAACAAAATTGCAAAAAGGTTGTGCAATTCCAAGAAAAATCAACAAGAATAAAATATCCAACTTGTACTATTTTTACCTCTGTGAGCTGTGAGCCATGTATTCACATGTATATGCACACACATAATATATTTTGAGCTAAAAACCTGGTGATAGGAGCAAATTCTTAATACATAACATCTTTCCATAAGAGCGAGCTGACAAGAGCAGCCACAAAAAGCAAGCTGAAGGCTATTATCAAGTTTGCTCCTCTTTTACACATTATAATTTCTTTGCTCCCCTCCCCACTCAGCCTCTTTGCGCCACACAGACTCAGTGCAAGGTGAGACACACTTGGATAAAATGCCAAATTTTGCTTAAGAATAATACCTGGAGCTCTCCATAGGAATTGTAATTGCTTACCACAGGACGTAATTTGACCAAAAGACACTGTTATATGACTACAGATAGGATGCAGGACCAGTGGGATGGGATTTAAAATGAGATGTTTTTGCCCAACCAAAAATATCAGAGCCAGTGGGTATTTTTATTAAACATTTTCAGAATTTTACAAAACAATAAATACTATTTTGGATTGTTTAGGCTCACAAATAGCGACAGCTCTATGTTTAATTCATAAATGAGTGAGACAAAGCTCATTGGTATTTAAACTATATTTAGTTTTAATTCATTTAAATTCAGAAATAGTTGAACAGTTCTGAAATAAAATCCCTGACACAACACTGATGTATTATCTATTCATCTCAGTAGCAGAAACTGACTTTCACATGAAAAAAATCAAGCTGTCCCTACAGCTTTGCAAAAGTCTCCAAATAAATTAGAGGTGCTTTTTTTTTTTTTTTTTTTTTTTTTTTTTTTTTTTTTTTTTTTTTTTTTTTTTTTTTTTTTTTAAAGAGGCATCTAAGTTCTAGAGCTAGAGAAACAACCAAGTTATATTTCTAATTGACTTAGATAGGAAATAGATTCTTTTGTGAAGGAAATTAGTTATGTATTAGATTTTCCATCCCCAAATGCCTTATAAAATTGCTATGACTCCAGTACTTGCAAAAGAGGTGGAATTTTTAAAGTCAAACTTACATTTTGATTAAACTATTTCTAACCTTGGAAAGGAAAATAAATAAAGAAAGAAATAGCAAGCAAGTTCAGGGCATTTCCTTCTCCAGAATGATCTSTGATGTGCAGAGCAGAAAAGCTGTGAGGACCTCAGAATAAGGTTTGAAAAAGGTTTTAAAATGAGTACCACAAACTGAACTGGAGCAGCACTGCCATGACAAAATCAGAGCTCTTACAGACAGAAAACTGCAATAGATCTCAATGACTTGTGTAGCCCACAGTCCTACATCCTCTGTTTTGACAGGGATATTGGGAAGCACTGGCTGTTACACACAGAATTCCTAATGCYGTCTGTCTTCATTCAAGACATACCCTATTACAGTGAAATGCAGTACACCTTTATTACACTCCAGGAAGATTTATAGCCATATTTAAGGTCGCTGTTGGCAGCAGGACTAAAGACCTGGAGTAGAAAACTGATAACTTGATCTACTACTGCTCCCAGCTACRAAGAGCAGTGGCATTTTACAGTGTTACAAATTTCCACTTTTCAAAGGCCTCTTTGGAAGAAATGACTAAGAGGGTAATTGTTTCATTAAACATATGAATACAACCCTGCCATCACTTGCAAGATGGCAGGAAGGCTGAAGCACTTAACCTAGTCCCTTGCTGTCAGGCTGGTAAGGTGGGGGAGGAAGCTGCAAGCTCCTTCTTTGCAGTACACTGAGGACCCAATGTCCTCCTCTCAATGTCCCCAGGAGCACAGAATGCAGCATCGATCATGAAACCTGTCCAGAGAGCAGGCACCAAAAATGTCCCCACCTGACCACACTTCCCTGTGGGTGTTTGTATTCTGAGACTTATCTGCTAGCTGGTGTTTAATGGATTTTAAAAGTCTTTTTAAAGACTTTTGTGTCTTTACAACAACAAAACAGTTGAGCCAAAATACCTTTCCACTTCAAAGTAAGCACTGGCAAAGAAAGTCAATTTTCAACCCAACCAAGCCTACTGCCTCATTTTACGTATTTAACACACACAAAATTAATAATGGGCTTTATATATAAGATTTGTATAATCAAGTTATATATTTAGAGGGAAACAGTCACATTATCTAACTTACCTAACCCAAAAGCCTAAATTAATAGTTTAATTAGAACTATCACTCCACAGTACCACTGGCAGTTCTGCAGAAGGTAAAGGTTACTATTTGTTCAGCTACCATAGGGACACCGTGACACTCAAAGTTAGAAGAGAGAGATGCTCTCCAAAGCTGCTGCCTGGCTGCCATTCCCTCATGCAAAGAGTCCTATGTTCCTCCTCGACATCAGCTCTTTGTAGCTCTCAGCAGCAGATCAGCGGCAGCTCTCTCACAAACTTACATATTCCTATACTATACCATTTCCATTACAGCCTCCCGAAATTCAGCTGATTGACATGGCTTTTCTTCCATGCTGCTAGGCTTAAAATATTTCTAAAACATGTTTTACATCARTTTCTCTCTATTGAAATCTACCTTTTGAAAACAGCTGTAAAAAGTTGAAAAGCAACTTATATTTCTAGGTTTGCTTCCCTCCATACTTTAATTCCATTTGGTGAAAACATTTCTATCTCTACTGGCGAGATCAAATTATGCTCAAGGAGTTTGTGGTTTACATGC